CTAAAAAGTATAAATACTTGAAAAATGCCCTTGAATATGGAAAAACTTTAATCTCTGTTGATGTTATTGTTTCTTCTTTAAGAAATAAGGAATTTGAATTTAAAAGTGAGTCAAATAATTCACCAGTGGAGTTGCTTCGACAATAACAGGAAAGAATTGTCCCAAAGGAAACAATAATAACTTTTCAAATAAAAATTTTGGAAAAGGAAAAGAATTTTCAAATAAATTTACAAAGGGTAAAAACAAACCAAATAAGAATAACAATAATGCCAAATTAAAGAAATGTTACTTTTCTGGAAAGACGGGATATTTCATAAAAGATTGTTTTAAAAGAATTGAAGAGCAGAAAAATGCTAATAAAATTGAAGGATGAGCTTCAATAGCTTATGAAAAAGTTGTAGCCTCAAATGGTCAAGTCTATATGACTTGTCAACCTTCAGCTAAAGATAAATGGATTCTTGATTCATGGTATACTTTTCATTTAACACCCTATAAAGAATATTTTACTGAATTTTTGAAAATTAATGGTGGACAAGTAACTATGAGAAATGATTTCTTTTGCAAATTAAAGGAATTGAAAGAACCGTTTTAAAATTCAAAAATGGAAAAGTATTTACTTTAGAGAAAATAAGATACATTCCTAAAGAGAAACTAATTCATTTAGGCACCTTTGATGATGAAGGATACGAGACCTTCATTAATAAGAGAATTCTAACCCTTCCAAGGAATTTTGATAAAAATTATTAAGGTCCATAAAATTAATGGAATTTATGTTTTAAAATCTTCATCTGTGGTGGGTAGCCCACTAGCTGCAATAGTCTCACAACCTGATAAATCTGAAATGTGGTACAAAAGACTTGGACATATAAGTGATAAGAATTTGCACATTTTAAAGAAACAAGGTCTTTTAGGTGCTGAAAGGATTGAAAAGTTGTCTTTTGTGAACACTTCATTTGTGGGAAACAAAAGAAATTACCTTTTGTTGCATGCATTCATAAATCCAAAGCAATACTTGATTACCTTCATGTTGATCTTTGGGGATCAACCTTTGCGTGTACTTATTCTAATTTTAGATATTTCCTTCTCATAATTGATGATTTTTCTAAGAAAAGTTGGGCTATCTTTTGAAAAATAAATTTGACACCAGCCAAAATTTGAAGGAATGGAAAACTCTTATTGAAAATCATGTAAATAAAAATGTTAAAATTCTTAGAATCGACAATGGCCTTGAGTTCTGCAATGAAGAGTTGATAATTTTTGCAAAGAAAATTGTATCCTTATACATAGGATTGTCATTATACTCCACAACAGAATGGATCAGCTGAAAGAATGAATGAGACCCATTTAGAAAGTGAGATGCATGCTTAACAGCTCTGGTATCCCAAAATTATATTGGGGGAAAAGCTTTAAAGACTGCCTCATATTTGATAAACAAATTTCCCACTAAATCTCTGAATTATGACACACTAGATCATATTTGGAATGGTTATCCTATTGATTATTCCAAACAAAAAGTTTTTGGATGTGTTGGATATGCACACCAGAATGAAGACAATCTTGAACATAGGTCCATTAAAAGAATTTTATTTGGATATAGAAAAGGTGTAAAAGGATACAGAATTTGGGTAAGAGGTTAGGGTGGGTACAGATTCATCATTAGTAGAAATGGTCTTTAATGAAATTACAAAGGAAAGTGATAATACTGACTTTGAAAGTCAGAATAAAAACCATGTGGAAACTGATCTCTGTCCTACATATTTAAATCTTGGAAATGAGGATCAGATTTGGGTAGAGCAAGTTCAGTAACATAATATTGAACCCGAACCTGAAACTAATGAAACTAACTTACCTGAAAACGCCTTACAAAATTAGTATCTAGCTTAGGATAGAGTGAGAAGAGAAGTTAGACCACATTCTAAATTTGATGAATCAAAATTTGTCACTGCATTTAGTGTGGAAAATTTTCTAAACAATGAGCCTTACTCTTATGAAGAAGCCATTGAGGGAAAAATATGCAAACTCGTGACTCGCAGCCATGAAATATGAAATGCTTTCATTGGACAAAAATAAGACCTGGACTTCAGTTAATAAATCAAACATACAAAAGGTTATTGACTGTAAATGGATTTACAAAATAGAAGAAGATGAATCAAAAGATGAAAATGTAAGGTTCAAGGCCACGTTAGTTGTTAAGGGTTTTATCTAAAGGGAGGGAATTGATTACAATGAAATATTTTTTTCTGTAGTCAAATATACTTCTATAAGAGTTTTACTTTCTCTCGTCACAATTTGAATTGGAGCAATTAGTTGTAAAAATTGCTTTCTTAAATGGAAACTTGGATGAAAAGATTTATATGATTCAACCAAAGGGGTTTGAACAAAAAGGAAAAGAAAACTGTTTGTATCTTTTACAAAAATTTCCGTATGGCCTAAAACAAGTTCCCAAGCAGTGGTATATCACAGTCGATACTTTTTTTTTTTTATCGAGGGACTTGATTTCAACAGAAGCGAGTATGATCCATGTTTCTATTTTAAAGGTAATGGAGGTCCAAATTCTAATTATCTTTTGTTATATGTTGATGATATGTTACTTGTTAGGTGTGATGCAACTAAGATAAAACAAAAGCTAAAACTTGAATTTGAAATGAACGATTGAGGGCTTGCTAGAAAGATTTTTGGGATATAGATTAGAAGAGATAGAATTAAGTATAAGCTGTTTTTAACTCAACAATCCTATATTTCCAAAATATTAGGAAGATTTTCTATGAATAAGTTTATAGAGGTCAGTCTTCCCTTAGCTATTCACTTTAAATTGTCTTGTAGATCAATGCTCTAAATCTGAAGAAGAAAAGAATAGGATGAATAAAGTTCCTTATGCAAATGTTGTTGGTTCAGTTATGTGTATTATGATCTATACCAAATCTGATCTTGCTATTTTCTATAAGTGTTCTTAGTAGATTTATGAAGTGAATGTCACTAGGAAGCCATGAAATGGTTATTAAGGTATCTAAAAGGAAATATTAATTTGGGGTTAATGTTTAACAAAAGTAAATTGTAATCAAACTAAAAGGCTTTGTTGATTCAGATTTTACCGGTAATAGTGATAATATAAAAACCACATCTGCATATGTTTTTACTTTGAGTGACACCTGCATAAGTTGGAAATCTCAATTGAAAAAGATTGTAACTCTATCATCAATAGAAGTTGAATATATTGTAGCACAGATGCTGTAAAAGAAGGTATTTGGTTGAAAGGTTTGTTAGATGATATTGATTGTTCTGACAATAGTGCAACTTTGTATTCAAACAGTCAATATGGAATACATTTAAGAAGTAAAACTATTTTTCATGATAAAACTAAACATATAGATGTTAAATTTCACTTTATAAGAGATGTTTTAGAAAAGGAAATCATGAAAATAGAAAAGGCGTTTACTAAATGTAATCTTGCAGACATGGGTACAAAAATACTTCGTTTACATAAATTTAGGGATTGTTTGAATATCTTAAATGCCATTATTGACTTTTTTTTTTTTGCAAGTACATAGGGTAAATGAAACAAACGGAGGTGTTAACCTCTAAGTCTATTATGAAACACCACCGATGTCAAGCAATATGGAGATTGTTGGATTTGCATAACACTTTGTTGGACCCAAATTTCTAGCCCAATGATGGATCCACTTACAATATTGACAGCCCAAATACAATTGAAGTCCAAACTCAATTGCCTCTCACATATGTGCATTCTCGCGTTTCTATAATGCAACTTTAAGTTCGTTTTAGATCAATGGCTGAGATGATGCCATGTGGTTGATTGGTGGCTCTCGGATGAAACTTAATTGTTGAATCCCTATATCCTGGATACTTTGATTGGCTTGGCTAATTATATCATTTTTTAGGGTATTATCCTTGCTCTTATTTTTATTCTCTCTGAAAAACTTCTGGGTTTCGTCCGTGATACTTCGTTCTTTTAGATTTTCTTGATGGGATCTGTTATAGAGTGTTTGTAATGGTTACTAGTTTGTTATTTGGTGAACAGTAACTACCGGTTACTTGGTGTAATCGTTTTGAGAGAGATCTTGAGAGAAAACAGTGGTTTGAGGGAGAAAATTGTTTTATCTTTGTAATTTTTGGTGATTTCTAGTGGATTTAGAGCGAAGCACTTTTTGGATGCTAAATGTGGTGAGTAAACCGTTTGGCTGAACATTCGGCCCTTAGGACGAAAATTTTTACTGTTCTGTAATTTCTATCGATTTACTTTATGTTCTTGAAACAAATTTACTAACAATTTTGATCAAAAGTTTTCATTAAATTTCTTTAAATTTTTTTCAATTTCTTTTCTAAAAAAAACTAAAAATAGCAGAAAACTCTATATATATGGGTCCCACAAATTTTCAACCACATATTTCAAAAACTTCTATCACAATTTACTAAAAATCTAATTTTAATCCCTACCAAACACCCTCTAAATCACATTTTGAAATTAATTTCGATTTGTAAAGCGCTCCTAATTTTCAATGGTGCTTTCAATTACATTTAAAATGTAATTTATATCTCGAAGAAGTCGAAAACCTCTTCAATGAAGAGATGCAAATGAAATGTAAAGCGCATTTTTTGACAAAAAATGTAAAAAACTATAATTTTACATCTTTTTTTAGATCTATACGTGAGATTCACGAGAAGAAAAACTACCAACCCACTTACACCCAATTTTTTTGTATCTTCCCATTAGAGCAGAATTTGGATTTAGATCCACCAGAATATAAATCGAACTGCAAAAATGATTATGAAGATAATTTACACTCAATTTTATATCACCATTAAAGATGCTCTAAAGCACCAACCTTTCAAACCTGCTAAAAATAGCTCCATTATGTGTCTCTTAATGTTTTCATCTATTTTCCTGGATCATCCAATGGAGTTTCAATTTCTCAGATGATAACAAGTTTTTCATTCTTCGCCACCTTTCTTTCATTTCTTGGCTGTGACGTCCGCTCATAATGTTGAGTCCTCCGGTCGAGATCAAAGTCCAGCCACGTCAGACCGATCCGCAATGCCACCGACCACCTCCACCTCCTCAGCCGCAGCCGCGCTCTTTTCGGCTGTACAAGAAATGGTTCCCATGGTTTGTCCCGTCCATTGTTGTTGTCAACAGTGTCCTGTTTCTGGTTTCAATGTACATTAATAATTGTCCTCACAACTCTAATAGATGCATTGGAAAATCGGTCTTAGGCCGGTTCGCGTTCCAGAACACCCATGAAAACCCTTTGCTCGGTCCATCGGCAGCTACGTGAGTCGATATCTAGCATCTTCTTATCATGTATTGAGCCTTTGTTTGATTTTGATTTTCCGAGAATTATTTGTTTCCGACATTCATTTTCAACCACACATTTTTAACAATATGTTCACAAAAAAACACCTTTCAAATAATCACTTCTTAAAAAATCTTTATCAAACAAGGGCTTAACCTATGAGTAAAAAAAATTGATGAAATACGCACTTGAAAAGTAAATAAAAATTATGGGTCCATATAAAATGTATGATTAAAAATGAGTTTGGAGAAAAAATGAGTTTTTTGTCCAAATACGTCATCTTCCATTCATTCTAATATTTCTATGAGAATATTGTTGAAGAAAGAATGGTGTTTCTATAGTGGAGTTCTGAGCTCAACCTATAATGCAGGTCAGTTTGAGGTACACAATGCTTCAGTTGGTCTGTTATATCTTTGAGAGAGCTAGTAAGGCTTTTTCTGCATCACCAATTCCTTGAAACAATCAAAGATATATTAATTTTAATCACACATTTCATTGGACATACAACTTTTCAACCACTTATCCACTTTTATTAAAATTTACTAAAAATCTTATTTTAATCATCACCAAACTTGAGCTTAATATTAAGCTGAGAAATATAAACAGGATGTTTATGTACCTTCAATCTGCCTCGGGGGAAATGAAAATCCTGCTATATCTACGTGTGCTTTATCCTCATGATACCACCACACAGTCTGTATTAGTTGATGCGCCTGCTAAGAAGCTTATCGATCTTAAATTTTCAGGCTATTAGAAATGGGGGCACTGCGCACAAGGGAAGTGGTCGAAAAACATCAAGTATGGCGACTGGCCTCGTGTATGTGGTTGCATGCAGGAGTGTTTCACATTGTTGCCAATATGGTGAGTCTGCTATTTGTTGGCCTTCGGCTCGAGGAGGAGTTTGGATTTGGTATGTCCTAATGTTATTTGCTTGGACTAAATTTTATTTGCCCTTCGAAGGAAAAAAAGTTCCACATCTCTCTCTGATTGAATTATATGCAACTCGTATTTTCAGACTGAACTTTGGACTATTGTGAAAACTTAAAAGTGCTCGTCTGGGATAGCTTAAAAAGTTGTTAAAATGTTAAGGTTAAAGTCAACCGTTAGTTTTAACAAGATATTTTATGGGACCAACAACATTTCATTAACTTTTCAAGTATACATTTCATCAACTTTTATGAAACGTTTTGTCAAACAAGGTCTAGTTGACTTGCATTTAGTGTTTAAAGTCTCTGTTGAGTCGAGTAAATTGAAATTATCAACATGCTCAGTTATGCAAAATATTGCAAATTGAAGTTATATGAATCAGATAATAGTCTTATAATTCAGAACTTGGCTGTTAAAAACTACAAACGATTCATTATACTGTCTTAAGTTCATTTTTTATTATGGAATTCTACGTGAAGCACATTCTTACAAGTCATATTATATTTTAACTCAAGCCACAATATTCTCTTAATGCATAGATGCATTCACACCGTCGCATTATGTTGACGGAAAATGGAGAATCGCATTTATTAGAGAGGATCAAACACAAGTTAATGCTGTGTTATTATGCTTTTTTCCTTGGATTATAATGTTTTATTCCATCTACAGTGCGGATTGGTTTGCTGTATGTTATAGCTGGAATTGGAGGAAGTTTGTCATCGTGTTTGTTTGTGCGTACAACTATCTCTGTTGGTGCTTCTGGTGCATTATTTGGGTTACTTGGTGCAATGCTTTCTGAACTCTTTGTCAATTGGACAATATATGAAAATAAGGTATACAAGTAAATTCTCTTTCTTTAATAATTTCACACTTTATATGATAAATAAATGTAATAAATCTTGAAATTCTTATGTACTTTTCAACCAGTTCGAAGCAGTATTAACTCTCGTTGTCATCATCGTTATAAACCTTGCTGTTGGAATCCTCCCTCACGTCGACAACTTTGCACATCTAGGAGGATTTATTACTGGATTTCTGCTGGGATTTGTCCTTCTGATTCGCCCTCCTTTCGGATATGTAAAACAACGATCCGCTCCTTCTGGTTACTCTGCGAAGTCACGCAAATCCAAGTACAAGTTATATCAATACATAATGTTAGTTGTTTCACTGATACTTCTGATAGTAGGGTAAGTTTCACCATCCTCTTTCTAATTGCAAAGTGAAGATAACTTCAGCTAGTTTTTTATTTTATTTTTTTATTTTTTTATCATACCAATTAATGTTCTCATTGCACAAATTACAGCTCCAATGCATTATCTTAATGTTTCATTTTTTTATTTTTATTTTTTTCTTTTGCAGATTTGTTGTTGGCTTGAATTTGCTTCTTCGAGGGGTTGATGGGAATCACTATTGTTCTTGGTGTCATTATTTAAGTTGTGTACCTACACCATTCTGGACTTGCGAAGCACGGTGCTTGGTAAGAGATAGTGAAACTCTACGAACATTTATTCTGATTTCCTTCTATTTTTTGTCATGTTTTTTGTTACCCTATGTTACGTCCCTCTTTCTTGAACTAAAATTTTATGGTAGATCATCACAAGGCAAATTTTCTAAATTTCTCAAGAATTTATTTTCCCTTTCTTATTCTTTGATCCATATCTCAGTCCTGGTTCATTAGTCCATTCCTAGTGTCTAGTGCACTACTAATGACATTTACATTTCTATACATAAAACTTTTGCACTCTTACTCGAACAGAAAATTCAGAGAATTTCCCATTTGAGCCTATGCAAATTCTTGCAAAATTTTTGTGCAAAAAAGGTATAAATAAACTTGTCTTGAGATTATTAGTCGATCAAGGTTTTTCATTTTACCAGGCAAGATTCGACCACAGAATTCCTAATTTAATTTCAAGCATCAAAGTTAAAACAATGGATACATATATAGTTACATAGATATAGTGTTAGAACTTCTTGTCCTTTAATTTTCAATTCCCACGAATTAAATACTTTATGCATCAATCATACATTGAAGGACGGCTTAGGTGATTAGTAAATGTTTTGCGTAGTCCTCTTTACGCTTTCCATTCATAAGAGCGACACGTTCTCTTTCTCTCAGTAGAACATATCAAAAGCGAGACATGCAGACTAAAACTAACATGGCATGCGATAGTTTCTAAGGATCTAGTTGATTTAGATATTTTCGTAAATATGATCTGAACAGTTTGGAAGATGATAATTTGCACAAACTGAACTCATATTTATCAAGAACGAGTCTTATTTTGTTATTTTCAGTGTACGCGTGGATCATACACTATAAAACTTCATGGATTTGTATTTCATGTGGATGCAAAACCTCAACACAAGTTTTAATTAATGTATATGTTTGTCACTAGTCCAAGTTTTGTGTGCATGAACAGGTTAGCCAACTTGAAAATCAGCTGAATATGACATGCATAAAGAACCAGAGACACAAATTTTACTTATTGGATAATGGCAATAACACAGCACAGATTCAGAAGCTTTGTGTTGATCTCTGCAATTGATTTATTCAGGAAAAAAGAATTTATATCATTCTTTTTTGAAATTATGTTTCTAAATTCAGTAGAATATCGACTCGTAATCCGAGCTTAAAATGCTGTAGTACTTGTAGCAGAAGAAGATTCATTTGTCATTTTTATTGTAAGTAAAAGTGATTATTTTGCTTGAAGCAATTAGAATTTTGCATTAGAAGAACCTTTATTATTTTGCTTGAAGCAATTAGAATTTTGCATTAGAAGAACCTTTCTTTCCAATTTCTTTCAAAAGCTAGAGCCCTTAGTAGAAACAGATTTCATTCAATCTTTTAAGGAATACTAGTACGACGCATGTGCAATGCATGTCCCATAATTATACTTAAAACACTTGAAATGATGATAGGTGACAAAAATAATATTAANAAACTTAAAACACTTAAAATGATGATAGGTGACAAATGATAATATTAAGAGATTTGATTCATATCTTATTTTCTAGACTTTGCGTTTGAAGGTCTCTATATTCTTTTTAAAAAAAGACAGGGGCATAGATTATTAGGTGCTGATACCTTGCTAAAGAGATAATGAAGTTCAACATAGCTCTCATTTTTCTACTTATTGAGATAAGACATTATGTCTCCTTCATCTCGTGTTCATAGAATCTCCAATTACATATATCGGTTGCACCAATATTTAATTTCTTTACTAAGACCTTATGCAAGACATATATAGTCAAAACTAATTAATTAATGATAATACAGTGTGGAATTTAGAACAAATCAAGAGACTTTATCAATATTAAAATTACAATACAACGAAAACTTCCATCATAGAGGCAAAAAGAATGACAAACGATTATCACATAACTTCATAAATTCCGTCGAATATCTTTACAGCATGTTCTAATGATACTGTACATTAAATCCATTTAAAAAAATCAAAAAAAATCAATTTCATAGAAAATATTTATCTACTAGCACTGCATGATGTAGGAAGATTCTTCTGAAAATCATTGATTTCCTTCAATATTCATTTTGACGCCATAAATTTATCATTTTTAACCGTGAAAATTGGAGAAAAATGAAATTGAGAGAAATGGTGTGAGTATGGGGGTTGAGGGTGGGGTAAAAAAGAAAATTTAACGAATATGATTTTACGTTTAATAATTTAAGATAATTTTTATATTTAAACTTAATAGACAATATATTTATTATTATCACATTTTAAGTTTTTAAAAAAATTAAATCAATCCAAATGGATATTCATATCGTGAAATATCGAATCAAACAAAAAATTGTAGAAAAATAAAGTTCGAAAAAAGGATATTGAAATAGGGTTGGGATTGAAAAGAAACATAAACAATCACGACTTTACGTTTCACAATTAATGTAAAATTATTTTTGATATTTAAAATTTGTCGATCATACATTTATCATGACCGCATTTCAATATTTTCAACAAATTTTAAATCGCTTAAAACGAATATTTGTAACTTAAAATACTGAATAAAAAAAGGGCTTAGCCGAGTCGAGTCGTTAAGCCATTTGGCTCGGCTCAGCTTATGACCAATAAAAAAAAGTGACATTTTTATTTATGTAGGATAAGATTTTAAACGAAGCTCAGAAGTAAGTCAAATTCAAAATTTGATTCCTATTATATTGTAAAAATCACTTTTTAAGAAATTAAATCAAAAACCTGAAAAGGTAGATTTTGTTGGATATGCTCTGTTTGGAATCATTTTAGTGGACTCGAAACGTGACGTGCACGGATGAGAATGCCTACTAGATGACAAACCCACAACCAAAGTTACTTTTGCCTGATATGACTATAATTAATTTAAAATTCTTTTAACAAAAGGTAATGACTACATAATCAAATAAATGAATCATACAATCCCATTATGCCACTTGACCCGACTCAACTCGACAGATCGACAGGCTCCAAATGTTACCTGACTCAACTATTACCTGATGAGAAAATGCGTGATAAAATATATGAGCTTGTAACTTCATAAGTGAAGAGTTCTCAAATAATTATACATTTCTGGTTCATAAACATTTACTAAAAAATCAAATATATACTAATATATTATTTAGCAATTCTAAAATATAATAATCACTTTTGAACTGTACTTAATAATGAAAATCATAATACAAAACATAAAGAATCTTTTTAATTCTAGCATCAACGAAAATATAAATAAAACTATTATATCATAACACTATAACTTGATATTTTTATTTTGTGTACTATATAAGTGGTAATACACTCAAAAATCACACAAAAAAGGTACCCTTGAATAACCGTATACATGTATCGACTAATATCAATATACATGACATAGTTACTCATAATCTGATAATTGAAAGTTATGAAATTATGATCATACGCGCACAGATATGTCCAAAGACTAAACACCTAAGTACATGGTCCAAATTCTGTGTGTATGTGAGGGGGTCCCAAAGACTTGATATTTTGGTCATATATTGTGGAAATACATTCACACCATTGCAAGGCACGTAAAATCAATATATTGGTCATACATTATGAACATTCATACCAGTGCAGAACACACGATAAAATTACCTGAATACTTTCATGTTATTTTAAAAATTAACTTTACATTCACTGAAACATTTAATGTTGTTATAATATGCCAATGAAAATACTTTAATTGAACTAAAATTGTTTATTTATTAGAAATTATTTTATTAAAAAAATCACGCTTGTAAAACTATTATTAGAAAATAAGTAAATTTTGCAATTTGCGTAATATAATAAAGGCACTTAAATGAATAAACGCTCATATATATATACATTTATTTTCTAGAAAAATCACTCGCAATGTTGATGAGCAACGGGCTATAGGTTGCTAGGCTCGTTCAATTTCCACGCCCCCATTCTTTCGATTCCAATCAAAAGCCTACATGAACTAAAAAGTCCCAAATTTTAGTACTAAGACAATTAGCTAACGGAATTTCGAATAATTCATCATCCTTTTCCATGGGTGCCTTAATATGTTTACTTTTAAAATTTACAAATCAGTTAAACCGTTAATCCCCTTTAGAACCGTTAATCCATGTGATTTACAAATTTTTTATTCAGCAATCAGATAATAATTCAAATTTTTAATATTAGTAAATATATTAGAAAATTAAATTAATGCGCATATCTATCCACCCAATCCAACCACCCATTTTCTTCCATCTTTCTCTCTCTATCATTTCCCTTGTCTCTATCTATATCCCTCCATTCTCTTATCTCTTTATCACACATCACCGTCGAAGATACCGTCGGCACCGTGGTGATTAAAATTTTACCTGAAGATCTGGCATTCAATGTATTTACCTTCGGAAGAAGCATTTCAACACGATTGGAGATTGAATCCAACAGAGAGTTTGGCTGGTGAAAATGTGAATGATACATATGCGATCCTGACTCTAATAGTCAGATTTTCAATTGTACCAGACCGATTTACATTATGGCAAGGAGATTGTTTATGATTCAATATCAGGATTTAACTTGTACATAGTAATTGATTTGGATGGAATGCTGGTGGTTAATAGAGTTATATAAGAACACACATATTTCAAATTGGGGAATATATTAGGGAAAATTCTATATGTATAGATTTATTTTCACAGCTATCTTCCTATGATTTGCTATTGCCAAAAACAGCAGCAGCCAATTACAGCCCTGTATCTGTGAAAAAACCTATACTTATAGCAGAGTTCATTTATTAGTGCACGTGATGAATGGGGTGATTATGGATTCTGAGTTTGAGGAATCAGTGCAGCCTAATGATGATGAAGATTAATTTCATTATACTTGTTTGTTCCAAATTGCTGCTTCTATATATCCTCTGTTTTTTTTTACTCTATTAAACAGATTGATAAAATTTTAATTTATTTATTTTTAATAACAACCATGTCGATCAAGCAACTCAATTACTTTATCATGCGTCCAAGTATGAGTTTAAACTCCACAGATCCGTCCCAAGCAAAGATCGACACATAAAGAGAAGTGAAGAATACGAGTGTGAACGCCGCGTACAACGACGCTCACTACAACGACATCGCAGTTGTGAAGGTTTTTCTTACAATTTGTGTTTATTCTACTTTGATTGTGTTTTCTTTTTCCCCTATTTGTTGGTTTTTGTTGGAGTGGTAGTGGGTGTTGGTTTGTTTACGATGTAGATGACGGCGGTGGTGGTGGTGAGGACAATGATGTTGCTGACGGTGATACTAAGGGTAGCGGTGAGATTGTGGTCACAAGTCGTGGTGGTCACAAATTATTTGATTGATTGTGATTAATAAATTGATTAATGTGTGACCAATAAACAATATGTGACTAATGAAATAGATAAATTGTGACCAATAAATAATATGTGACCTAAAAATTTGCTAATTTATGTTCAATAATTTGCTAATTCGTGACCATGAAATAATTTGCGATTTATATAATTTGGGAGTTGTAATCGATAAATAAATTATGACCAATAAATTTTTTGATTTGGGATCGATAAATAAAGTGTAATATATATTTTTTTTTAATTTGTGACCTACAAAATTTTTGATGTGTGATCGAAAAATAATTTGTAGTGACCAAACTTAATATATTTAATTAATTATTTCATATATAAAATTTAATTAATATCTGATTTTTGAAGTTTTAAATTTTATTTCTTAATTTTGAAATATGTCATATTTAATCTCTTAATATGAAATTTTCACTTTTAAAAATCATGTCAAATGGACCCTCCATATTACTTCCACTTCCACTTCCACTTCCACTTCAACACCAATCTCCTAATATACATTGTTTCTTTACAATATTCTTGTTTAATATCTCAAATACACACATTAATAACCTTTAATTTTTGCTAAATTTCGAATTTTAGCAAAATTTTCTTGAGCCCTAAAATTTAACACCTCTTCAACAAGTATATTTCTTCCATAACTCTTGAAATTAAAGATGAAATTGAAGAACCCAAACTTACAAGTGAATATCTATCATCCCCGACCACCTTG